CGACCGCCTTGATCGGAATGATTTACCACTGATCCGCGGAGATTCACCGTGGCTAGAGATTAACGTGAATTGGTCTCTTTTAGCTTGAAAACTAGTTCCACAGACCAACGGTGTGCTGTTTGTACAATGGTTCTCCTAACAAGAACCCATTAATGAAGACCTCGCACTGACGTTTTTCAAACCTCGATTAGATAAAGTAAAACTAAAGTCAAATTACGGCTTGTTAAATCATAGCAAGCAATGCAGCGACCAAAGCATTTTGCCCCGGTTTTAAATGCGCACGGGAAGCGTTCTGTACACGATTGTGTGACGGACAGGCTGAGGTTGGTGGAGCAAATTGCGTACACAACAATGCAGCAGTACACGTACGCACGCACGGACACACCAACTCAGTCCGTGTGTGACTCACGTGACTCGGTAGCCTATCCATCTGACTCGTGCAGATAGGTGAAAACCTGTGAGACAGAACACGCGAAGCTGCTATAGCTGAATAACTTTTCTAAACGAGAATAAAGCTGGGAGCAGCACGACGATTGGACAGAGAATGGGTTTAGTGCTTATGTGATATTACATTTCGTTAAGGATTTTATTTCACTCGAACGGATCGGAGAAGAAGATTGATAGCGGGCAGACAGTCCTCAATCATGGTTTGTGAACGAGTCCTGAAAAAAGAAACGATGAAAACGGATGCAAAAACCGAATAGTTTGAACGATATGAAGTTGATCATGTGGGTGTTATCATTAGATTTCATTGATCTGTTTGCCTACGAGGATAAGTGAACCATAAGTAATTGATTGGAACTTACCACCCTTCAGATTTCACCTTTACGCACATTCCCCAGAGACTCCAGTTAACCATACACTCGGAAGGACTATCGACCGGAGTTTCGATCTTATTAGAGCTCATCAATAGTGCATGTTCACCGGGCTTGGAACTTTCGACCCATCGTATGGAAGGAATAGAGAAGACGAGCAGTGGTGGAGCGATTCGAACCCGGAACTTCCGAATCACAATTCGGCGAGTTAAACATGTGGGCACCATCGCCCTAATTATTCATTCAAATCACTTGAACAGGGTCTATGTCAATGTCCGTGTCGCTTTTATAATCCCATAAGGAAGAAACGTTAGAGTTTTAACGGCCTCAGCTACATCTGGGAGAAAAGAAAACACGTTTGTGTTTTCACGGTCAGTCTTTTCGTTTGAGAAACGCAAAAATCCTGGTTTTCTGCGATCAACAATTCCTCATGCAGATGATGTTCTATCGCTCGACTGGCTAACTGTTCACTCACTGTACAACTTCATAACATGAGATTGTTCGATAACCAGTTAGGAAGGCTTGAGATATGCTGACTGTAGCAAAGTACAGCAGTAGTAACCGAGGCGATGCGACGAGAAGATGAAACCTCATATCCATCGTCTACTCATTCGCATACAAAGAAATCTGATTGGAGGAACAGATAATAGAAAGAACGAATTAAACCACAAAAACTATCGAACCAAGCTGAAAAATTATGTCTCGATTCGGGTACACAGACTCTATAGTATAGTCTTTCTCTTTTTTAGTTTAAGATGTGCCGACGACAAATCTAAGATGGTTTGATTTTACGTGGACAGTATCTTGCGGAGTACACAGACAAGCCTGAAAAACAAACACGATGACAGTCCAACTCAGTCTTTCGGTCCTTTCCCATGAAACGTTCATTTAGGTGGTTTTTGAGCAATCGAAATTGTACAATTGGTACGGAACAACAATTGTACGTCGACGGTTCGTTTGCAGTCTCTATCTTCATATTCCTACACATTCATACCGTTGCCGTTGCAGGAATTGTCGATTATTAGAGGGGAAACAGCCTTTTTCAGAATCCAGAACACGTAGTCGCTACCGTGCAGCAAGCTTTGACGGATGACAAACAAAACACTAGAGATGGAACAGGGTAAAGTAGAGTGTTGGGGATACGCATGCGAACGGAAACATTTCACAACTTCCGAATCTAAAACCGGTAAAAGCAATTGCAATCTTTTTCCGTGGCTAATTTTGTTTGATTCAGGTGTGTGACTGACTTCAGGGACATTCAGGATTTCGGGAGCAAAAGGTAAGCGCGATCGACTTGCTGATGATTGGTTACACAATGACCATAATGATAATAATAGTGATATTCACTTTATTTCCTTTTTGGTTACTAAGTACATAGTGCTACTGTTGATTTTCAGCAAGCGGGTGACGGCCAGTCAAAGACGGTCTAGGGAAATACAGAAACGGAGAAGATGGGCAGTGGTGACAGGATCTGGACCCTTGACCCCTTGATTGCCGGAACGGAGACTCTAATTACTTGGTCATCACAGGGGTACACTAACAATCTGAAATGGATAATGTTATTCACTCGCTCTGTGTCTCGATCATCACTGCATTGGCCAGGTCTTTGCACCGAAATCCGTCGGTCGATGTAATTGTTAAAATGCAGCACACAGAACCGTCAAGCCGCGTACGAATCCACGTCACACCATAACCGCGCTCGAGACGTCCAAGGCCAATCGATTCCGGATTGGATGACTCAGACGAATCAGACAAATGTCGTCCAATCGATGAGTTAGAGTGTCAAGGACGCGATCTGGTTGGTGCGTCACCAGGTCGTTCTCGTACGCCCAGTTTACCCAATCATATTTGCGTATCGCGTCCTGATGAAAGAATACACTCTAGCCGCTATTCTTCAGTCGTGTCCTCTACTGCATCACTTTTTGGGGCCAGGCAAAGGCGCTCGTGTCGGTCGTACGTTTAACCAGAAAGTAAAAGTAATTCGCAGGATTTGAACTCCAAACGCTCAAGAAACGTTCCGATTTTTAGAAGCTTACACGGAAAAGTGAGATTTGAGTTGCTTACTGACAGGATAACTCGTGACTGTAGAACAATGTGTGTATTAAGAAAGTGCGATACCGGAGTAACATCCTCGAAAGGGGCTACAAATTTCAACTCCTCGCAGAAGGTAAATCCGTATGCAGAAACAATACCATGCCTTGCAATTACTGGTGTCGCACGACAATTGTCTATGGCCTAAAGGGGAAACCAATACTGGCTTTTTCACTGTACTACAATGTTGAATTGGTTCTTTTTCAACTTAATATCTATATACACATATATATTGTATGAATTTGAAAACTGGTCACAGTTTATCCTTTAAGTGCTGAAAATCTTGTTTTGGCTTAGCTCCACGTGCTACATCATAACAGGGCATGATGGAATAAACCGATTAAATAATAGTGTCTCTGTGTAAATTTTTTAATTGGCCATTGTTGCGACTGCATCCTTGTGCAGTCTTATTTGTGAGGTAACGTATATGTATATATTTCACTGTAAGTAGTATATAAATGATTCGACAAGATCTTTTTGGAGACATGTGATCGGTTTCATCATGCTTACTGCTCCTCAGAAGCGTGTATCCGGTAATCTTTTGTCAGTTCATTTATATACTTGTACCCAGGAAGTTTATTTTCTCTAAAGACACTCAAGTCACATTTGTTACAGTTACATCCACGAACCATCGAATCATGGTTTTGATCCTTGAATAGGCTCGCTCTTAGGGAGCTGTCAATCCCGGATTACCCGGTGGTTTAAATTTTTTTCTTTTTCAATTTTTGCTTCCTTTTATAGAAGTCTAAAAGGTACAGTTGTCAGGGCGGGAAAGAGGCCGATCAAAGGGCTATCATGTTGATGAACTTAGAACTCACTTCCTCTGGGGCGATAACTGGGTGATGTCACAACCACCTCATTGGACAATAGTAACTTCATCAAACTATCACCCCGGAGGACATGTGTGCATGTCTATTAGCCGTACACTTTGTGATCTTTTTGTACGAATTCATCCTTTTTTATGGGGCACAGGACTTCAACAGGCAGACCGTACAGCATTCATGCCACTGATTTCTATTCTGGGCCATATCTCTCAGCGTCTCTAACCAACGACAATCCTCATCTCTTGGGCCTTAATCTGGAAGGCGGGCTGCACCGACCGCAGCCAAAGCTGAAGCTCGCCTCTTCACACCTCTACGCCATGTTATGGTCTGACCGCTGTGGTGCTTTTCCAGCCTTATCTGGCACGCGCAAAGAGAGCACGGTAGTCAGTGGGCAGGCATACTCAATAACGAGGCAGTGTAAAGCTATTACTTCTCTTTGAGAACGACCATCCACTTCCAACACACGACAACGGACCTCGTCATTACTCACCCGATGTTCCCACCAGACAGGAGCAATGCTTCAGAGACATCGGTGGCCGAATAGTTTCGCAAGTATCTGAGAAGACTCAAGACTACCACTGTCTATGTTGATTGATCTGCTACAGATCATCGCGAACGAATATTAAATCCACCTTTGGATTGTTTGCTGAATTAGCACACTGTTCACAACTGGACCTAACCGAAACATCTCTGATTGTGGGGTTGCGAATCTACCACACGACAAGAGGCCTCTTCAGTACACACACGAACCATGCTCGCCCAATCCCGTTCTGATCCACACCTGATCAAGCCTGCATGAAACTCAATCAGAAAACCGGTCCGCCTGTTAACATGCGTCCTCATTTCGTGATCACCATAGTCTAGAATCTCAGGTAACAGCTTTAAACCTAACACGAGCTGTGCGAGACACCTCGCAGGCCAAGTTATCCTTTGAAATAAATGACAAAAAAATACACTGGACACATTAAAAACTAATATTCGTAAAAAAAACAGATGAATGCAACCATATCTCCAAAATCCGACACAGTCGAGACGGGTGAGAACAGAATTTTTGCAACCGCCAGACGGGGACAAAGGGGGACGAGAGAGGGGTTAAATTAGAACATGGCAATAAAAAAACAGGAAAGTAACCTCAGGGACAGAAAACCATTGGAAAGGTTAAGTGAACAACAGAATAGTGGAATCAGAATGTCACTCAGAAATTATGTGTTCGACAAAATACGCTTGCGCGCGCACACACACACGCAGCGAGAGAGGGAGCCGGTTGGAACTAATTCCCACAGGTGACTAGAAACTCTCGAGACAATCCTTCGAACGGTTCCAATGTGGATCGGAACAGGGGTTTAGCCGCACCAAAATGCCGAATGCGATAGTGGCCTGGCTCGCACGTACCATCCAATCTGCGCACTTGCCAGCTGATCATGGCTTTACTTTGACCGAGAATAAACTGCAATGCTCCCACACGTGTCCAATGAAATCTGACGGGGAACAGATAGAGATTACGATTTTGCGGAAAATTTATTGCATCCAAAATGGTGCAATGTCATAGAAGTGGAAATTTAATTTTTTTTTGCGATCATTCAAGGACAATAGTGAGAAACATCGGTCAGCGGAAAGCACGGTCCCGGTGGAGAGACTTCGACAAAGAAAAGCTTGTGACAATCACCGACTAATTGATCGCTGAGATCACTATCCCCTAAAACTTTCGATTTATATCAGTCACAGTCTGTATTAAAAAGTAATCAATTGTTTTAGGAACATCAACAACTGAAAAGGAAAACCATAGAAATTGAGTCCTAAAAGTTGCCTCTGTAGATTGTCAAGTATCCGAAAGTGACAGATGAATAATATCTGGGTTAACTTCACCGATACAAGGCATCAGACAGACAATAGTACATTTAAAGTCATCTATAAAGTGCCCCAAACAAGTCACAGTATGTTCGGAAACGTCACTTGGCAGGAGCCGTGGCAATCAAAATCCTGAACCCAACACTGTGCAAATGGAAGAAAATGATCACTGCACTCCAGTTTCCTTTGATCTCGTCCCAACTTGGGCGACGAAGTGAACCATGAATTCAGTCATTTTGTGATGATACGACATGGAGTGACAGGTCACACGTGGAAAAAAGGCTATCGGAAATTTCCAGAATTAACCTTGGTCTCCCTTCCTCATTTTCCCCTATTGAACTTGGCAGACAGTGTTGTTCTTTCCCATGTCACATCAATTAACCAATCACCTCTATTTCTAACTTGTATCTAAACACACAATTGACAGTGCCTGAAAACAAAGCTACGAAAACAAGCTCGTTCGCGCCATATTGTTTTTTTTTTATATCGCAGTGGTTGTAATTTCAAGTGTGCACTCTTGATGATTGATATCCAACTTCTTTTATTGTTGATGAATCATCATGCACATCCTTCGGAATTGTAGTCATATTGACAGGACAGATCATGTCACCTCTAGTGATGCTTTTTATACTTGAACCAAAAGTTAACCACACATAGAATATAAGTCAAAAGCGGTCCAATCTATCCCCACCCCATTTCTCCTATCGAGAGCTGCTCTATTTGTCGTTTGGGTTATTGTGGTAGTTGTGCAACGAGTACGCACACACCATGGTACAGCTTCCAGGTAACCTATTGGGAAACAGATTTCCCGACTAATCCGGTGACCTCAATTGGCATCAATTGAATTGGCTGAATGTAAGAAGGCAAATGAATGAGTTATATCTTTGTCGATTGGACATTGAAGAATCGGCCAATGATTGTTTGATGCTTGTGATATTTATTTCCATGGTTTTCTGGATAGAATTAACTCTATACACAACTCGTCTTGGTTCCAGCCGAATTTGCACTATTCACTGGGTTTTCAGTTCGAATCTAAGTTCACCCGATTCGATTCCGATTCCCATTCTGCATACTACAATCAAACAATAGGCAATAGACAAACACCATGTGTACAGTTTGGAAGTGTAATGTAATCGTTTGAGTACTTCAGTTCTTTGAGAGAACCGAGCGTGTCTGTGTGAGCGAGAGAGTCACTCAAAGCTGCGGTTAAACAGTCGTAGAAAGCATCCTAAACAAGTTTCTTTCTTTGAGTCGATCTGTGCTTCCTTGATGCACGTAGCCTGATTTTCAGAATGAATGTGATTAGCTGCATGGTTCGAATAGAGTCACATTCTCCTCAATTCGACTCAACTGATCGATTGATTCTGGATTAAAAGCATTTGAGCTCATTGTTTGCTGTTTATGTTCATTCATCCCATGGGTAGAACTTGAGAATCAGTCAGTAAAAATAGACCCGATTCCCGGTGAAGCTAAAACAATTCAGAGGGAATTCCTCAATCTTTTGTTTGCCTCAATCTATCAAAAGCATAAAAGATGTATCAAGCAACAACAACAGCTTTCGGTCACACCCATTACTTTATTGATCCATCAACCGGTAGATCGTTTTGCGACATTCACTCAGTGTCTAAATTCACTTAGACAAGCGACCCAAATGCATAATGAACACCGGTAAATGATGTCACTTTGATGCACAACGACGATCAGAATGACATGTTTTTTTCCAGAACAAACTAGCGCCTGACCAGTATCTTCCACTAGAAATCTAAACATTGGTGGCTGCAAATTTTCTCTAGACACCGCAGACAATACTACTGGTATAAATGTAGCTAAACCAGTAGTGTCCTCTCACGATGCAATCGATGATAAGCTGACGAGTTTTTTAACAACTCGGGACAACGCTGACAATCGTTGATCGTCAACCGATATCGACCAGATATTTATAAACCTGCGTTCAAAGCAGCGATCATTGCATACAACTAATTGTTTGGCTGCAATAGATCAATAGTTTGCTATTTTTGGTTCGATTTATGTTCGCATTTAGTCCACTGACTGTTTTATTGGTTCCGAGTGCTGCTTCTGCTGCTGCTGCTGCTGTTTCAGGTATTGATCAGCTGGGGAAAAACTGCTTTTTCATTCTGAACGGTGAAGCCATTGTTGCAACATTGCAAAATTCATGTCCTGAACGATTTCATTGTATCTAAAGTGATGCTTTTTACAGGCAAATATAATGTTTGTGTGCAATTAATGCATGGCGAGTCACCAAGATAAAGCCACGTTGATCAGTAAGTCTGTATGTTTCCACAAAAAGACTTTTGCATCGATCATTTGGAGGATTTTGAGTATTTTGGTATTGATCATAAGTGTAGAAAACATTTTCGGATACTACTATATATCTGATTGGTTCAATTCAGTACGGTTTACAAAAATGACGGATGCAAGCAGGCAGAGCAACTGGGTGCAGGAAGAACAGCAGTAGTCAATGTAGACGTCATATGAGAGGTGAAAGAATGGACCATTGGTAACAACTGGAAAAACCCTTCCAACTTATGTCTTGCGACCATCAACAATCCGACCGGGGTCCGGTACCCTCATCCTACTAGAAAAAAAAGAGCAGGCAACACACCTCACTCACTTGGTTTCCCAATCGGCATCGGTGAAACGTACAATCCATTGATTTGTGGTCTCGTCCAAATACTCGACTGTCAGATAGGTGTCATTCAAACGCACATCATTCCGGGGATTTGCACTGACAAACTCCACGTGGACTGTTGCATTGGGCTAGAAGAAGGCGGAGTGGAACACGGAGGTATGAGAAACACGTTGGTGAATCCAAACAAACAAACAAACAAATAAGTACGTGTGTACTGTAGAATGATGATATTGACGAGGTGCTCTGAAAACTCTGCACAAAAAAAGCTGATAATATTTTTTGTCGACACAACACGTTTTCGCAAACCTCAGCATGGTCGCTGGCGGGTGATTTGGATTAGAACCAGTTACTCTCCTCTCAAACTATACGAAATGCTCCCGTACTGCCAAGTGTTTCAGCTAATATCTGCTAAGGAAACGCTTCTCTCTGCTCTTATGTAGTGGAGATATTTTCCCAATAGAGAGGACAAAAAACCGACATCCGAAGCTGTAACTGAATCGATGAATCACCGGCAGTTTATCTAGGTTGTTTGGCAGCCACCCTGATATCAAAACAACCAAGACGAGAAGTATGAACCCGCAGTATGCGGAATGGGAATCGGAATCGAATCGGGTGAACTTGGATTCGAACTGAAAACCCAGTGAGTAGTGCAAAGTCAGCTGGAACCAAGACGAGTTGTGTATAGAGTTAATTCTATCCAGAAAACCATGGAAATAAATAGCACAGGCATCAAGCGATCATTGATCGATTCTTGAATATCCAATCGACAACAATAAAGTTCATTTTGTTGCCTTCTTGCATTCAGTCAATCAGATTGGTGCCACTTGAGACCACAGGATTAGTCGGGAAATCTGTTTCCCAATAGGTTACCTGGAAGCTGTACCATGGTGTGTGCGTACTCGTTGCACGATTACCACAGAACCATACGCATACACTTTCTAGGTGCATGCAAAAGCTACGAACCTGTTTCGGAATTCCATCGAGTCCAAACTGTGTATGATCAGACGAACCGGACACCGGCTTCCAATGGATTGTGGACCTTAAGAGCTGTAATGGTCCGTGATCGACCGAACCGTTTATCGCGTATAGCATGATTCACTCACTGATTGGTCGATGCGGCCAGCCAACCAGCACACAGGTCATAAGGACGTATTCGATTGCGACATTGGTTCGTCTTAGTGAATCAGATGTTAGTATTGATTTTCCCGCATTTATTGGTGCGTTGAATATTCAGCTTCATCGCATTTTACTTTTCGGTAACGCTTGCTCCGGTTGTTGGTTTACCTACTTACTGGTTGACTCCTCGTTTGCTCGCCGGCCCGCCAAACTAGCCGTTCCCATTTGTACTTCCTTTTGTTGAATACACATGATGATACAATTTTCGGGATGAGGGAAGTGGCCAATCAAAGAGCTACCACAGAACACATAATGGGGCAAGTCAGATGGTAACGGTGTTGATGGTGGTGGTGGTGTTGGTAGTGGTGGTGGTCCTCCGGGATGATAGTTTGGTGACCGTTACCACCGGGCCACGACCGCCGTGCATACGCTGTAATTAGACCAGTTGTTTAACTCGCTCCGCACTTATTTGTTTGCTTAAACCAGACACAACAAGATTCACCCCACTGCCTTGAAGATTCGACTGTCTGTTCAAAGGATTCCGGTTGACAATCGCCCAAGGGCGAACGCAAACTAACGCTCGACTAACCCAAAAACACCCCCATGTTCATATATACGTCTATACTGAATGCGCACGCACACACATACACATACACCAGCATAGGTCTACGTTGCACTCAAGCCGGCATATACCAATACTGACCAAAGTAAACAAGTCTAATCAGTGTTTATCAGACAATAGCCAATCAAAATGTAACCGTTCGGTTTCAGTCTAGTGCTTCCACTCGTGTGTGTGTGTGTGTGCGTATGTGCGCGTGCGTGTGAGTTCAAAACAGTATTCGAATGAGCTAGTTAAATCAAAGGTGTGCTGGATACCTGTTTCTGATAATGTTTTTGGAATCGCGGATACAGAGAAATTCGATGTGTTATGATTCACTCATTCGGGACTCCTCTGTCAGTATGGACACACTTTTAGTTGTTGTTGTTGTTGTTGTTGTTGTTGTTGTTGTTGCATTCGTGAATCGAACAAAAAAGAATAAAACTGAAACCGAATCAAAAGATTATGTCTCTTCACGTCATTTTCCTGGGGTATCTTGACAGCCCCATAGATCTAGGGAGTGTACAAAAATGTGATATGTAATCAATGATTTTCCCTGTATAATGAACTCAACCGTCTGTAATTGATAATACGGAACTGATAGATTTCAGTTGGGATGAAAAAATCCACGGTTCCATATGGTTGAGTAGATCGATAAAGAAGAGGTAGATCACTGATCACTGATAACCCGCGTCTGTCCATGTTGGCAGTGATTAATTAATCCCAAACAGTGTCCTCGTTTTTAGATTCTTTGGACAGACTTCACCCGCATAGAACTATTTGTATTCTTATTTGTATAGACTTTTACGAGAACAGAATGTTCGCATTTCAGTCAAAAATTACACATCTCATCAATAGAAGGAAAGATATAAGTAAAATATTTAACCTTTAAGGTTACTGAGAAATTCTGAGGAAGCGCGCTCTCGGTTTACAAGGATTCTGGCAAGATAGGGAACTAGGGAATTTCTGTAGAGACTAATGCGAGAGGGTAATAATCGATAAGAAGAACGTGTAGACGTATGAGAGCAGCATTTAGATAAATCGCCATGTAAAGGATGGTTGGGATCGGAGAGGATTTTCTGAGCAAATGTTTCACATACAGACAAGTGAAGTTTACACAGTCTTTTAGATAGCTCGTCAACGGGTATAAAAAACACACGACTGATGATCGACAAACCTCGATGAAGAATTATGAAGTATTTCTTTAGTAGATCGAGAAAAACCACCGGGGAACAATAGAGAAGAACGGGGAAAACACATTGATAAACAAAAAGTGAAATGGTTTTTTTGCTTGGCATTGAACTGCCAAGTTTTCGAAGTTGAAAAGATAATCTGCGAAGTTTCTGTTTAGAGTTGTAAATATGGGATGTCCACTTTGAGTTAGTGTCAATTGTAACTCCCAGATACTTCACAGAATCAACTCTAGTTAAGGGATCTGTGTTTATGGTAGACGGATCACGACGATAAACAGATCGAGAAAGGGAGAAAGTGCATTCGAAGCACTTGGATCAATTAAGAGAGTATAGAACGAACGGAAAATTCAAGAATATGCGAATAGATTATTCAAGAAATGTAAAAGGTCCTTAGGGACAGAAATGGCTTGACAGAGGACTACGTCATCAGCATATTTAAATAATTGGGCTGGAGAACTCGCAAACAGATCACTGATGTGGGTGGAAAACAAGAACGGAGATAATACAGAACCCTGTAGTATTCCCGAATTATTCACAAGTGGTTTAGACGTTTTCCTACCGAGCCGAGTCTACTCAGTTCTGTTTGTGAAGTAGTCGACGAGCTACACCAGTAGGTGCTTGGGGCAGCCAAATGATTCCAGTTTACGAAGGAGGACGGAACGTGGAAAAGATGATGAAAAATCTAAGAAAACACATCTTACAGATTTCGCAGATGCGTCTAAGGATTTGGTAACATGATGAACGAGGGAGGTAACAGCATCCAAAGTGGACCTATTTGATTTATAAACAAACTAGAGATGGTCTTCGGGGGTACAGAAGGAAGCAGAAAGACGTTTGAGAATGGCACGTTCTGCCAATTTAAGACCGCATGACGTTAGAGCAATTTGACGGAAACGTTCGGACAGGGTGTTGGATCTGCACGTTTTTGGAATGGGAATGATCGTGACGGGTCTCCAGCAATCGGGAATAGAATATGAACTAAGTAAAGTGTTGAGGATAGAAGTAAATGCACCCGTTAGAGGTAAGACATCATGCTTTAGTAGGGATGAAGATAAACCGTCAGGACCAATGCTAGTTGTACGAAGGAGTTTATATATTTCTTCTCTCGAGAATGGGGTTATATCAGCTGTCTTCCGGAATCCATGAAACAGGAGGATCGCTACTCGGATGCACAAATGCCCGATTTATACTCTGAACGTTCACGGTGCATACAGTTGGTTTAGATTTCGCTCCACATAAGATCCGAATTCCTTTCCATACATGTCTCCTGTTTTGGCTGCATAGGAGTTGATTCCCGTAGGTTGAATCGATACGTTTAATTTCTTTTTTTATCAAGGTAGAAATGTAACTGACCATTGATGAATCCCAAGAGTTGTAGAATTGTTCCCTTTGTCTCCTCAATAGTTTCGGTTTCGGAGGTGCAATACAACCATCGGAGAGAAATAGGGTTTCCACCGGGCAACAGATGTAAAAGATGGAATTGATTGTATCAACAAAAAGACAAACATTGTTGTTCAATGAAGGCCCACAGGGGAAACCATGAAACTACATTGGATAGGGCTCTTTAAAGGAGAAGAATACGTTCACGGGATGTGTTTCAAAGACGGCTTTTGATTTGGTTACTTTGCCTAAGTGAATAGAAGGCAGAACGGGAATATATATCAGGTCTAAGAAGGAGCAGACAATGATCAGGTGAACGGAGACGAAGAGAGAAGAATTCGGGGTGATTTGTTATAATTCTGCCTAAAACGGAGGTACCTCTGATCGGTGAAACGCATAAATCTGTTAGATCANATCAAAAGCAGTGATAGGCCGGGTTGAGGTATGGTTGAAATCACCTACAATAATATGCAGGTTGTCCTCCAGTAGTGGAACAAGAAAAGGTGAAAATGAGTCGAAGAATGTCGAGATGGTATTTTGCGTACAAAACGGAGCAATATATAGGTTCACTATGAAAGTACTTCTGTCGGGAGAATTTAGGGTAACACTGAGGACATAAACAATCAATACTGTCACTTGAGCATGAGTATGAGTAAACGATATGTGACTTGCCACACCACGAAGAGTTGACGTAGGTGGCCACACCACCAACCCAATCGAATAGCGTCATAATAATAATGCCTGGGGCTCCCTTATCCGGAGTATATTAATCATGGAAAAAACGGACGGAAATAGAAATTCAACTATATTTAGAGAAAACCTCAAAATAACGACCGATTATGTATTTGAATACAGTGGTAATCAATCTGGGACATCTGAAACGGCCATGTGTGCACTGTTTGATCCATCAAACCGATATATGTTGCCTAACGAACAGGAATTCCGGAATGAAGACTGACGTCTGTTGTTCCAGTTAATTAATATAGAGGTTTATAAACCAAAGATTTGATTCAATTATGGAATAAAACTCAGGAATAAACGGTCGAAGACAAATGTGGAGCTGCATAACAAAACGGAGGCAGCAGAAACCGTCAGTGGTGCTTTTTGTACTCCAACTCAAACGTAATCTTTCAATTCCAATGTGGGTGCAGAGACACTTACGAAGGGTTATTACGTAATCGGGTTTTAGAACACATTCCGAACTGGGTTCAACACAAGATTGCCATGGCAAAGTCCACACAGCCGATAACTGGTAAGGTCCGTGCTTACAAACCACCAAGCTCATCGATTACCAAGCGCTTGTTGATGACGCAACACCTCGTGAATCGCGAGAAAGAGTTTCGAGTGATTTTTACTAACGATAATACCAGAATGCTCAAGATTGCCTAGGCGATTGCAATCACTCGATGGAAACCAATTCGGTGTCAACAAAAACACTTGTTCATCACCTTCGCTTTGCCTTGATGACGTCTCCCACCATTTACAAGTGTTCATTTTGTAATTCATTCCCAAACCGTATATAAACATTGTATTTGTCTGCAGCAGGCACCAGTTGAGAGGCAGCAAGATCATCCGGGACATAAATCGTGCAATGTTGCTATACTGGATTGTCATTTCAAACTTATCACCGGCAAAAGCTTGTTTCAGTTATTTCATTGCCCCAAAACAATTTTGTACCCATACAACAATCAAATTTGCCCAACTGCAGGGGCCAGGTTGAATCACATGAGCAATCAATTAGGATACGGGAAATTCAGTAATGATAATGGTGATGCCTACTATTATTATTATTATTACTATTGTTATTATTATTATTATTATTATTATTATGAGGAGGAGGAGGATTATGATGGTGACATGATCGTAGGGCCAATAGTGCCGTCAATCCCTCGCAGATAAGGTCGCAAGGTGGGTGGCAGGTTTGTATTTTATGAGCCAACGACACACAAACACACAAGGAACATAAGCTTAGCGGTGTACCCGTTCTGTCGATCGATACGGATTGCATCATTTATACACTGGTGATGTGCTGAAGTCACACATGAATGTAGTCGATGCACCCAATGAGCAAATAAGGACTGATGCAAACCATTGGAGCGTGTGATGTAAAATTACAGACTAGTTGGGAAATTTAACAAAAGAAATAACAACCATATGTTGCTATGACGACATTAGGTTTAATCATCTGATATGTATATATATGTATGCAAAAATAATTATTTGTGGGAGTTAGCTTTCCGCTAAATAGCATTTTCA